GCAGATCACTATTTCTTATCTTCTATATCTATCCGTCTCCTACTCTGATGACGTTGTATTTCACTGACATGAGAAGCCAGCAGAAGGCAACTTACACAGGCTTCCTGGACCACTCCGACCCTCTTGCCTGCACCTTGCCCATTGCTCCTTTTTCCCTCTTACTATGGATTAAAGGCGTCTGCTCCTAAGTAGGCCAGCCCTTGAGAAACAAGTCATCACCTCTTAACTTCTGAAGGATGTTGCTCCACTAATTCTCCCTTTTCTGATTTGAATATGATGTTTTCTTTTTCCTTCATTCAATAGATACTGCAATTTCTCAATGCTTTATGGTGTGCTTATGCACACACGCGCGCACGCACACACACACACACAAGCACAGCTGCTGCCTAGATGTCATTTTCTCAAAGCACAAAAATTCCTTAATGGAGTTGTGTGGGATTATTTTTGTAGTTTTTCTCCTCACATTCTTTCTCAAACCTGCTTCCACCAGATATCTGTTCCTTCACTTCAGGAAGAAAACACCTCTATCCTATAGGACCGCCCATCAGAACCTAGAGCCCAGGAGATCTACATTTATGTGAGAGGCACACAGACACAGAGAAGGGTATGGCCGCCTATCTCTAACAAGCTGTTTTTTATCTTTTCCCTCTTTCCCTTGTTTCCCATTCCTGTTGCCTTAGTCCAGGCTCTTCTTTGTTCCTTAAACTATTACAACAGACATCTAAATGATCACTGAGCCGCAACTTTTATGACTAGTCTTGCCCATCCTCCACACTGCTCCCAGCATTAACTTTATTAAAAACTTTGATGAAAACTTTCCAATATATCTTCACTTCCTACAACTCAAAATATAAACATTAGCCTGATGTAACATAGAGCAATTTCCCCAAGCCCTATAACACACAACCTTGAACACAGAAGAGATAACAGAGAAGAAACAGAGCTGGTTTGGAGTATTTTTCAGATAATTTATTGAGCTCTTGATATCTGCTTATCTTATAAGACCAGGCTGTGCCTGAGAGAAGAAACCTTTTAGATAATTCTTATATAGATACTTCTTTCAAAATATGAATCAAATTGTGTCACTCTCCTTGCTTAAAACTCTATGCTGTTTCTTCATGGAGAAAAATGAAAATTTCTTAGCAAGTATATTTAAGCTTCTACATGATCTATGTTCTGAGTATATCTTTAAACCATTCTCCCTTGCTCATTTGTGCTCATGCCACAAACCATTTGTGATCTCAGGGCTCTCACACATGTTGTTCTCTCTGTCTAGGACATATTTTAGCTTCAGTTTTGTACTATCAGTGTTTTTTCCTCCATGGTTTAGAGTGTACATGCAAGAAGAAGCAGCTTTTCCTGGAGGAGGAGAGAATTTTGATTTAGATGATTCCATCCATAACAGCTGGCAGCAGTCAGTCTAAAGTGAGGACTAAAAATAAAATCCTAATCCCTGCAACTGACTGAATGGACCAAGGGACCCCAGAGAAACCTTAAAAACTGAGCTCCCAGCCATGACAGTACAGGAGGCTCAATATGCCTCATTATACCCCCTCCCTTTTGTGGTGCAGACACAATAACTGATCAGCATTAATGTCAAAACAGAGATCATAAGAATGACAGAATGGACTCTTTGTAGCAATAAGATATCAAATTGGAACAAGATACCTAAGCAATAAGGTATCTATGTCCTGTTTTTAATTTGGTATCTTATTGCTAGAGTCATGCCAGGCAAGGGTTAAGTGACACACCCCAACACCTAAAGAATAAACTGTTCTGTCAGGAGACGTTTTTTTTCTCTAGCAGCTAAACAAGCACTGACCTCATGATAAGCAATATTCAAACAATTGCATTTTACCAACCGACAGACACTGAATAACTGACTCCTCTGTTCCACAAGCCATAACCTCTGCTTTGATTGGACAAGAGACTGATTTCAGTAACTTTCTTCTGATAAGAGATCGCTGACCATAGACTGGCTCTGGCCAGTTTACAGAGGCTCTGTGCTTGAGTGCCTTTATATCCCTGCTTCACCTTTTGACATATGGGCCTAACTGTAATGCATTTAAATGCAAACTGAACATGGAATGCATGTAGCATGTATGTATGCTCCTCATTCATGTGTCAGGACCCCTTTTATGATTATTCACAGCTCTCTCTATCACCTGTTAAATATGTAATCTTTAGCCAACCCGTGCAACACAAAGTTCCTGCCCCAACACTTCCTCCTTCAAAGTGCCTGCAAACAGTCTTTGCTAAAGGCTAGGCTTCCCAGCCTGTCAGAATGGCCGGCCACCTTTATAGGCTGCAACCTTTTATAAGAAATAAAGTCTCCTTTCTTAATTTATGCATTTGTGATTCTTATGTTGACAAAAGTGATGCTTGTACACTTTGTACCTCAGGTACCCGATCTGATGGTTGACCTGCTCCAAACACAGATTCTACAATGTGTCCCTCTCCCAATCCCCTGACAGGTGGAAAATCAGAAACAGTACTCAAACTCAAGATCTCAGGATAAAAAACAATTGACGCCTCATCCAGTTTTATTGGTGATCAAAAACAAAGTCGGTCCAAATAGGATGCCAGCCTGGTGCATTCACGGGTCTGTGAGACCAGCTTAAACACCAGGCTTACAAAACATTGGATATATTTTATCTTGTGATTCTCCTTCTTATGACAAACAACACTTTAGACAACACAATGCAAAATGAAAGTCCAAATATAGAGCAAGAAGGAATAAAAGAGAATGGCCTGATTTCACCAAAGATGCCAAACAAATGAGAGTCAGTAGCAAAATCCAGATACCAAATTAAGAAACCAAGAAAATCAAAGAAAAAATAGTAGAGGAACTGAACACATACACATAAAGCAGAATGCAGACTTGTGCTGACTTAGTCACATCAGCAAAGACTCAACAAGCCATGAAAAGCAAGGTGCAAGGAGTCTCCACGGGAACCACTGGTTGAAGGATGGGGTCTGCAGTAACAAGCAGTATAGACCAAATCTCACTGGTGGTCTAGGGAAACTGTGCACATAAAGATAACCCAAATAAGAATAACCAGAACCTATTTATTCAGAGTTTGCATGGCAAGGGAGTCAGCCACCATTACTTGCATCTGACAGAGACTCAAAGGTAAAAAGGAAAATGAAAAAACTTTAATGGTGAAAAAAAGAAAAGACTCCCGGTGTGCTCTGATTGGGGGGTTGCTGGCATGGGGAAGCTGGAAGTTGGCGAACTAGAAATGGGACAACTTATGTGATTGGTTTGAGGATCTATTTGGTTTTCTCTGGTTGGTCCTGGTTGGAGCGAGGCAAAATATTGGCAGTCACTGACCATTCTGGGCTGATTGCTGCAGAGGCTGTGGGTCAGAGTTCTACTTTTATACATGGTCTGGCCATTGTCTATTTGTACATTCACTCTCTGACACATATTCTAATATTATGTCTTTGCCTCCTGATTTTTAAGTTTTAAATCTTTGGAAAATGTGTCTATTTAATAAGAGTTATTATTAAAGCTTTTAAATTATTTTTCTGTCCTCTACAAACCTAAGAGAAAAACTCTCCATATCGTATGCCTCCTTAATATATTTACTATTTCCATTGATAATCTTAGTAATAGAATAAAAATGATATAGTAGATTCAAATTCCTACCTAGTCACTTAGAAGCATCATAATTTTCAAGCTTCTTAACTGCTAGGGTTTGAATGCATCCCCTCCAAAATTTATGTTGAAACTCACTTCCCAATCCAGCAGTATTAAGAGGAGGGGCCTTTTGGAAGTGATTAGGCTATGAAGGCTCTGACCTCATGGATGAGATTACTGCCTCATAAAAGGTCTGGAGATAACTACCTTGGCCCTTTTAACTCTTTCCTTCTGCCTGTCATGCGAGGACACAGTATTTATCCCCTCTAGAGGACACAGTGTTTAAGACATCATCTTGGAAGCAGACACTGGGCTCTCAGCAGACACCAAAACTGCTGGCACGTTGATCTTGGAATTCCCACCCTCCACAACTGTAAGAAATAAATTTCTATTGTTTATAAATTATCCAGTCCCAAGGAATTTTCTCATAGCAGCACAAACAGACTAAGACATTAACCATAGCTCCACTTCCCTCGATGTAATATAAAGATGATGTACTGGTCACTTCCCAGGATTGACCTCATAAAGGAGAACCTTTTCTCCTTTACCCTACGTGTATGTTACTTCAGCATCCTTGGAACCATGTATCTTTGATATGAATTGCATACGTTGGCTACAAATTTGAATTCTTCAAATCTTGTATGTGTACCTCTGTGACTGAATTCATGACACTCATTTGACATGAGGGTTAACATTTAAAGGTAAGGTTTAATGGAATGAGACAGAGCCAGAAGAGGAGAGGAGGAGTGATTCTGCAGAATACCCTTTTTTCTTTACATCTAGACTGCGTACTTCTCTTCTTTCTTAAAAGTTTCCCTTGGAGATGTGCTGCCACACTCTGAAACCACAGTCGCGACATGGGTTGCTGAATGGGCTCTCAATCATTAACAATCTCCTTTACTTTCTAGAAACATATGCGGAAGAGCTCAGAGGGAAGTGGGAAGACAATATGCTCCGGGACTGAGGTGGGATAAGAAGACTCTTTAAAAAAAAAAAAAAAAAGTTAAGTGCGAGATGCCAGGGGAAGCTTACTGCGACGAGACTTTCAGGGTCCTGGAGCCCCGGTCGGCACGGTCCAGGTCCTGTGCAAGTCTGCTTGTCCACAGACATCAGCCTCCCTTTGAACGCCTCCCCAGATACTCTACCTCCAGACCTAGCAGTGAACACCACCGCCACCCAGTTTAGAGCCTAGAGCCGGCGTGCTTGGTCTGCGCGTGCGCGCTTGGCCTGCGCCGACCGAAAGGGCGCGCGCAGGAGCAGACCTGTGGAGTTGGCTGTGCCGTCCTTTCCCGCCTCAGAAGCCACGGTTTGCAAGCAGCAGGGCTTTACTGCTGGGGGGGGAGGGGGCACAGCGAGACCTGCTTCTGGGACCCAGCGCTAGTGTAGGGGTTCCTGCGAAAAGCAGAGAGGAGAATTGCGCGTCTGGACTTGTCTGGGCTGTCCTCAGCCCTCTCCCCAGAGACATGAAACGGTTTATTCTCCCGCAGAAGAAAGGGACTGTGGCCCCCGGCTCCTTCAGGACTAGAGGAGAGGCCTCGGGGCGCTGGCTAGAGACGAGGGATGGGAACCGTGCGCCATGACAGAGGACAGGTAACAGGACGGCGCCACAGGAGGCACACAAGCCCCGTGGGTCTGAGCCGGGGACAGATTCTGGGAGAGGCGCGCTCTGACCTCGAGTCCACCACTGCGGAGCTGGTCAGGTCCTCAAGTTCTGAGAGGCCTCTTCTGTCCTTCTAAGGCCCCTTCAGCCGGGGACACCGAAGCACCTAGAAGAGTAACTGCACACAGACTCCAGGCCAGGTGTGCCTGTCAGTCTTTCATAAATCAAATCTTTAAAAACAGAACAAAGAATGGGGGGTGGGGAACTGGGGGGTCGGGGGACAACACACCTTTAGCTGGATCCTTGTCTTTTTACAACTCACCATTATAGACCACTTGATTGACAACTTTAAAGTGGTTTCATTAAATATAAATAACAATAGAAATAAAGTATATACACCGTCATTTCCATTTTAGTAGACACACTTCTGATGATCAAATATTAGTATATTATAGAAAAGTATGTAATAAGAGAAAAATACTCCCATAACATATTCAATTCTGAATTTAAAATATTTTTGACAAAGTCAACATACTTTTTTCTTTTTTTAATAGCCTGTTTTTTTATTTTGAGACGAAGTCTTGCTCTGTCACCAGGCTGGAGTGCAGTGGCGTGGTCTTGGCTCACTGCAACCTCCGACTCCTGGGTTCAAGCGATTCTAGTGCCTCAGCCTCCCGAGTAGCTGGGATTACAGGTATGCACCACCACACCCAGCTAATTTTTGTGTATTAAATAGAGATGGGGTTTCACCATGTTGGCCAGGATGGTCTGGATCTCCTGACCTCATGATCTGCTCACCTCGGCCTCCCAAAGTGCTGGGATTACAGGCGTAAGCCACCGCGCTCAGCCAATAGACAATTTTTAAAGCAGTTTTAAATCCACAGCAAAATTGAAAAGAACATACAAAGATTTTCCATATGCTGCTTGGTCTCATGCATGCATAGCCTACACTATTATCACCCCATCAGAGTTGTACATTTGTTACAGTTGATTAACCTACATTGAGACATCATTATCACCCGAAAGTCTGTAGTTGACATTAGGATTCCTCTTGGTCTTGTACTTTCTATGGGTTTGGACAAATGTATAATGATGTATCCCCCATTATTTTAGTGTCATATAGAATAGTTTCACAGCCCTAAAAATTATCTCTACTTTGCCCTTTCATCTCTCCCTCTCCCCAACCACTGGCAACCACTGATCTTACTGTCTCCAGGCCCTTGCCTTTTCCGGAATGTCATATACTGTAGTTGGAATCATACACTGTGTAACCTTTCAGACTGGCTTCTTTCACTTAGTAATATGCATTTAAGTTTCCTCCATGTCTGCATTAGGTCGTTCTTGCACTTCTATAAAGAAATACCTGAGACTGGGTTATTTTTAAGAAAAGGGATTTAATTGGCTCACAGTTCTGCAGAATTTACAGGAAGCATACCAGCATCTGCTTCTGGGGAGGCCTCAGGAAGCTTCCAGTCGCGGCAGAAGGCGGCAAAGGGGGAGCGAGGGAGAGAGAGAGAGAGAGAGAGAGAGAAGGGAGGTGCCACGCACTTTTAAACAAGCAGGTCTCATGAGAACTCACTCACTGTCACCAGTAGAGCACCAAGAGGGTGGTGCTAAACCATGAGAAATCCACCCCCATGATCTAATAACCTCCCACCAGGTCCAACCTCCAGTACTGGAGATTACAATTCGACATGAGATTTGGGCGGGGACAAATATCCAAACTGTATCACTAGCCATGTTTTCATGACTTGAGAGCTCATTTCTTTGTAATACTCAACAGTATTCCATTATCTGGATGTGCCACAGCTTAAGTATACACTCATGTGTCAAAAGACATTTAGTTTCTTCCAAGTTTTGGCAATTGTGAATAAGGCTGCTATAGAAACCTGTGTGCATGAAATTATAAACCACAAACAATAGGCTACCTAATAATCAATATCAGGATTTACAACATTTTGTGAAAACTGCAGAACTTTGAAATCATAAAACCTATGTTAAAATAGACAGTGGGTTTTATTTGGGGTTCTAGAATAGTTTCAGTAGTAAAGCTCAAGAGCAAATTCTTCTGTTACTTCACTACCTCACAAAATAGTAGTATATGCTATCTTGTTAAATCCTTGCAACAACTATTGTAAGTTAAGAAGTACAGCTAAGATCTACACCTGACAGAAGACCCTGAGCCTAAGAGAAAGTACTTAACCAAGAAAATACAGCTACGTGTAAGAGCCAGGGCAAGAATTACTAAACTATTTTGACTTCAGGACTCTTTCCATCACATCATGCCACCTCTGCTTAAAGAGTTATACCAACTTCAGTTTAGGACTACTCAGCCATAATTTTTCAATTGCATACTAATATAAAACTCATACAGCTCAGAAATTTGAAGTGGATAGACATATACTAATTTTATATAATTATTAATATAGTTATGAGCTGCTGTCTCTTCTGTCAGAAATGAGTGTTATGTAATACAGTTGTTATGTTAATATCAGTATTAAAATAGTAGTGTTATTTATCACACTTTTTTTTTACTTAGCAATCACCAAGTAATTTCTCAGGAAAAATAAGAGACACAAATGTTTTTTTTCAGACACAGCAATCTGGTTAAAACTTCTGATATAGGTTTTCTTTTGGTAGTCCTACTAAAGAGGAAAGTAAGATTATGAAAGTTTTGACAATGAAAGATCATTTTTAAAATCATTATGTAAATTTATTAGTTTCTCTTAAAAGTCAAGAATTTTGGATTATTTAAGAAGTGATTTGTCAAATTATGAAATAATATCTGAAGCCAAACTTACTTTCATAGTAGTTGAAGATTTTCATCACTCCTCTTCCAATAAAAAACTAGACGAAAGAAAATCAGTAAGTACACAGAAAATTTAACAACACTACCAATCAGCTAAACCTATTAACATATATGGAACATTACACCTAATGCCTGAAGATTATACATTATTTTTATATAGTCATGAAACATTCACCAAGGTAGACCATTGGACCATAAAACAAGTTTGAATACATTTTAGAGGTCTGAAATGCAGCAGTAAATGTTCTCTGATCACAACAGATTGAAATTAGAATTCAGCAAAACATATATTTCTGGAAAACCCACAAATATTTAAAAATTGTATTTTAAGATCATTTTAAGTAAGCCATGGATCAAAAAAGAAACCATGAAGGGAGTTAGAAAACATTTTAAATGATTGGTAGTTAAAGCATAACATACAAAAATGTGGGATGAAGCTAATTCAGTGATTAGAGAGAAATTTGTACCTTTGAATATTTATATACAAATGAAGAAAGACTTACAATGAATGACCTAAGCTTCCAACTTAAACTTTAAAAAAGTAGAAGGAAAAGAATGAGAGTAGAAATCAATGAAGCATAAAATGTACAAAAGGTAGAGAAAAATAAATGAAACCAAATGTGGTTCTTTGAAAAGAGTAACTAAATTGATAAACCATAGCTAGCCCATGTAAGAGAGTGACAGAGACAGAGAGAACACAAATGACCAATATCAGGAATGAAAGGGGAGATCTCCATAGACATTTAAAAAATAATAAAGTAGTATTATGAAAAACTTAATACCAACAATTTTAACAACTTAGATAAAGTGGATAAATTCTTTAGAATCTTATACCAGAACCAGAATGAGTAGAAATATAAAATATGAATATCCCTTAAATAATAAATATTTTTTCCATTTTTTTCTACCTCATGCCTTTTTTTTCCATTATTTTTGAAGCTCTTGTTCTCCCGTCAGTGAGTATGCTTGGAAGATGGTACAACTTTTGTGCTTTTTGAGGTTTTTTTAAGTTTTCAATTAACAAATTATAATTACACGTATTTATGGGGTACAATGTGATGTTTTGATGCATGTATTTATTGTGGAATGCTCAAATCAGTGTAATTAACATATCTGCCACCACAAATATTATCATTTATTTCCAGTGAGAACCTTCAAAATCTTCTTTTATCCATTTTGAAGTATAAAATACATTATTATTAACTATGGTCATCATACCATGTAAAAGATCACCAGAATTTATTCCTCCTGTCCAACTGAAGCTTTGTACACTGACCAATATCTCCCCTTTTTCTCTCTACCTCCCTACCACCAGGAGCATGTGGTAACGACCGTTCACCCTCTACTTCTGTGAGTTCCAATTTTTTAGATGCCACTTATATGTGAGATCATACAATATTTGTCCCTTTGTGCCTAGCTTATCTCACTTAGCACATGCCCTCTAGGTTGTTACAAATGACATCCAATTTTTTAACTATTTATTATACTTATGAATAGTTTTAATTTATAAATTATATTTATATTTATAAATAGTTTTAAAAATTAAATGCCAGTGTTGTTTCCTGCTTTTTAAAGCCTGGATAGTATTCCATTGTATATATATACATTTAGAGAAATGTTTAGGTTCTAAAGTTCACTATGTTCAAAAAGCCCATATAGAACCATTATATAAGTAAAAAATAAGTTAAGTATAGTATTTGTTTTTACTTAAATTAAGTAAATTATTTTAAATACATATATACTTTAAAAATAAGTATATTATTTGTTTCTCTATAACATTAGATTTGTTATAAAATGGATCTACTGCTTTTAGAAGTGAATTATTACTGATAAATAACCATTAAATATAATATAATGACATTCATAATAAAAATGCTTGTCTATTTAAACTAAGACTGTAAACAGAAGAAAATATGAACTACAATAAGAAATGTCAGATTTAAAAGAAAAAAAAGACATGTCAGGTTTAGACAGTGTACATTAATGCCAAATTATATTTTCAGTTTACTCCTGTGGATTCTTATAGAAATTAAAAGCAACTTTTTACTGAAAATCACAAGTTATTTTACACATGGTTGTAACATGTTGTATTAACAGTCTACTAATATCCTTTCCCTTTCATAAGTTGAAAGGAATGATATATGTTGACTCCCATTAGAACAAAATACTTTTATTTCATCT